ATATATGTAATAAAATAAACTACTATTCCTACTAATATTCCTATTTGCGGTTTTTCACTTATTGCGGGTCTTCAGGGTACGGATCCTCACGATAAACGAGGGACTGCTGTAGTGTATAAAACAGTAAATCAGTAAATCAGCTGTAAAACAGGTTGAAATGCTAAAAACAAGAACATATTTGCTTTGATTTTTCTACTGACATTATCAAATGTTTGGAACCCCTTAAAGAATCTCAAGAGGACAACTTCAGTTCCTGTTGCCAGGTGTTCCAGGTGCAGGAGCTGAGTAGGAGAAGGTCTTTTTGCCAAGTTCAGTCTGCACTGAGGGAACGCTAGCCTGAGAGCGCACGCTGTAACTGCACTGACGGCGTGACAAGTGTTTCATTTACTTCTTTACTTCAGGGGGCCTAGTTTTATTTTCAAAGTAGTTTCATGCTGCAGTCTCAGATCAATCCAGAAACAGATTTCTTGGTACAACTGAAGGTTTGTATCTGATATTCTGGCATCCTAGTTTGTAGAGTTCCATAATCTTGTTGTTTTTTTTCAATGATAGGAATTTAAAAAAAAAATCAGAATCATATTTGTGATAGTATCTATTTTTGCCATCACAATAATTTATCCTCCACAGTTTGTGGGAGTTCATCTTGTTTTATTCCTTTGCATCTTTATCCAAACTGAATCTTTCAGGCAGCAGTCAGACACTTTTTTGCGTTAGAGATTTATAGCACACCTGAGTTTTTGGAGTGAGGAATTCAGTTCAATATCCTCAGCTGACATGAAGATGAATCCAAATATCACTGCTTGCCTTCGTTGCTGCTCAAGTATTGATTCTTTAATGCTCTAAACCTTGACTAATGTCCTCGCCCGACGTGTCAGCGAACGGTGGTCCTGCAGGTGCACAGCAGTTTATCTACAAATGTTTGCTATCGCTCTTTGTTGTGACTCCTGCTTCATTTTTTTGCACCGCTCGGAACATCTGAGGACTTTTTCCTCTCGTCGTTTGTGGTGTAAGACCCGAGCGAAGGCCCCTCCCCCTCGCTCTGCCTCCACTCCAGAGCCTGTCAAACCAGATAAGGCAAATTGCTGGTGTCTGTTCTGTAGTCGTGTCCTCCTGCCCCTCCATTCTCTGTTACAAGTGGATATGCCTCCCCCTCAATCTGCAGCTTGTCTCTATCTCGGGTAACATAGCCGGTACTTATTGGACACAGCCAAAGTTCAGCAAGGTGGTATCTCTGAGGTGCATTACTGCAAGGCTCAAACAAACGCAGCATTTTAGGTACTGAGGGGTCTTTGGTCTGCTTTTAGCCTCAATCAGGATCAGTGGGACCTGGGTGGCGGCTTCACAACAACACAAAGGGGAACAAAGAAGGACAGGGTGCAATTAAGACACACTCTCATTTGTCCCCGACCACTCTGTGCACTCGCCATGTGTCACCAAGATGACATTGCTCAGGGCGCTCCAGTTTTTTATCACATATGGAGGCTCAGCCTTGCATCGGCACCATTAATCATCTCGGAAGCTGTGATGTCGACGTTAAAGAATTATTTTTTATTTCACACCACATGATTCAAATTAGCCTTTTATCAAACAAATTATTACCTCCTGCAATGTCTTCGAGGAAGGAATGAATTCAGTTTGGGGCAGCACTGAGAGGAATTATGATTCCTCCATGCCGGCAGCAGGCAGAGTTTGTGCAGATGACATTTTGCCCCTAACTCAATATTTCATGTAATGACTCCTCTCCTGGTTTTCTATTTGCCACATTATTTCTTATATAGGAAAATGGACTTTAGCTTTCCCCACCTCTCATTTGCTTTCATTTTTATGAATATTTACATCTTGGATATCACTCCCTCCAGGAAATAGACACCAGCGTAGTTTTATTGATCTGAACAGCATTTAAGTCACTCTGCGTGGTCATCAAATCCACAACGGCTCAAAATACATAACAATGTACAAAATATACATATTCACACAAATCTGCACAATGAAACACAACTACACATGCCTTTAGATGTTTTATATTTTAGCACTTTGAGATTGTAAAATGTAAAGTGTAGTACAAATTGAATAAATTATTATTATTATTAATATTATTATTATTACCTCACTGGCTGCACACAACCCAAGAGGGAATGAGTCCGCGGGAACAAAAGTAAATCTTCAAAAGAAACTGGGCAGCGTGACCTCTTAAACCTTTAGGCACAGCATCAGACTTTTCATGCTGCACATCTTGGAGGAGGGTTGCAACAACTTAAAATGTCCCCAGTGCAACATAGCACTGAACAATGGTTCCTACACGGTGTAACTTGCAAAATAGATCAGTATTAATAAAAATAAATAATGCAAGTAAAAAAACATTTCAAATAATGACTTAAATAATATTTATAGCAGTTAAATTTGATTATTTTCAGTGTTTCTTATGATGTGAGTGAATTTAAGTCACTTCCTGTTTAGCTTTTCCTGAGTTTTCAAAAATAAGGTCAATGCTGCGTGACGTGCTGCTTGTGCAACAGAGACAACAGGTTGCGTCTCTTCTCACTACACCGGGACGGCAGTGATTGCTGCCTTCACCCAACTTCTTCTAAGATTTCAAACCCTCCTCCACGCGTTCATTTTTCTAATCGACGAGCAGCCACGTCCCAAACGACTGATGCACTCAGCTGCCATGCTTACACTTTGACTTCTCCGCTGCAAAAAAAAAATCTGTCAGGGGACTTTGGTGCAGTCTGTGCAGAACAACAGAACTTTGAGAATAAATTGTTTTCCTGCAGCTTTCTTTGGGGAAATCACATCATAGTTTGTGAGTTCCCATCCAGAGTAAGATGTGCAAAATATTTATGAGTCCATGTTCGTGGACTCCAAAGCCTTTTTTAGTGGTGACACTGTAGGAGTCTCCCTCCACAGCCCGGAGCTCTGGATCGTCAGAAGCCAAATTCCCATCAGTTGAGCTCTCCAGCTGAGACACCACAAGCTTGATCCTTGCAACAATCATCAGCAGTAATGTGTCATGGCCAAGTGTCCTTGAGGGAAGAAAGCTGAACCTTAATCTGCTCCCTCTAAGCTGGCGGAAGACATTGTGTGTGAGAAAATCAAAGTGAAAGAGTCCAGTGTCAATAGAGGGTGTGGGAGTGATGGTGGGGGGTAGTTGATTGATAGCTGTGTTTAATCTATTCCATTACACTGTCTAATAGCCTTTAGGAAGGCTTGTGTGTACAGTAAACCGTGATGGAAGTGTAAATGGAAAGACCATATTGGATTGCTTGAATGACTTCAGCATCATTTTTTTAAAGTTGACTGTCTGCCAAATGGTGACATGGCTGTAGTGCTAAAACTGATCCATGTCCTCCGCGCTGCACATTGCATCATGCTTATAAGAAACATCCTTATCTTTGCAGCGAATGCCGAGAAGTCCTTACACAGACAGACATTAAAATTCAGATGAAATGATGCAGCTTATTAGTCATCTTTGATGTATAACTTCCCTCTCTCTGGGCGCAGCATCAACCGTTCAGCTCACCGAGTGTTTTCATCGCACCGGGTGTTTCTTTCAGCGTGCCAACGGACGGATCACGGTTCAATTAAAGTCCCAAGGTCACACGTTTCCACGCGTCGCACAGAAAGCCCTGTCCTGGACCTATTTGTCTTGCTTAGAGGCTCGTGTTTAATGCTGTCGGAAACAAAAGACGAATTGGTCGGATCGCCGAGGGTCCCCGCAGTCTGTGTCTTCATTTGAATTTGTCCTTCAATCAGCTAAAATCAATGACAGGAACTAATCAGAGAGAGGCAAGCTGAACACTTGATTTCACTTCTATTGAGGGTTACGATGGCTTACCGCATGGCTCTGTGGGCGAACGGCATGATGTGGCCATCCAGTGGTGTCACAGATCCACTAATTAGGACAGAGGCAGAGAGAATTCACCCAAGTTGCTGGGTGAGAATAATTAAGTGCTCTTCTCTCCTCTTCCTCCCTTTGAAGAAAGTCTCACCATACACATGTGCCCCACCTCCATAAAAAGCCAGTTCTATTTGCTCTTGTTAAAAGTATGAATCTGTTATGACTCACGTTTACAGAGTCCTTCAGTAAAATGTCTGGACGGTGATGTAGGGGCTGTCCACATCTACATACTGTATTTATGTTTACTGCCTCTCTGTGGCTCGAGGAAAACGGCTCCCTGTCAAGTAAGAGAACATCATTTTACATAAAATATACTTCAGCTTTACAGAGCGTTTCCAGTAATCCGCCGAGGCAGTGACACCGCTCCACAATCCTGAGATATATCAGTTGAATTGATGGCCAGAGCGCTGCCTGTGTTCCCTGCTCCATTTAAAACCCATCACTGTGTGAGCGTCACTTAAAGGGACAGCTTGTTGCTTTGCCTCCGTTGTTTTAAAGTACGATTATGTGGACTGCTCACGGGCGCTCAGTGTTTTATCTGCAGCAGTCCAACATGAGAAATGCTCGTCAGGGAGTCGAGCTAGCAGCTTTACAGCAGGTTGAGTTTGCAGAGCGGTTTCTGCAAAATGAAACTCAGAGGCAGAAAATGACGATAAAACAACGTTTGAATCGTTTCCTTCAGTTTAACACGTCACCCGTTTGTCTCTGTTGAACAGAACGTCCTACGTGTTGTTAAGTGTCTGATGATGTGACCTGCTGCTGTTCTGCTGCAGCTCCCAGTTCTGAAGGTCAAACTCATCCATCCACCCATCCATCCACCCATCCATCCATCCATCCATCCATCCACCCATCCATCCATCCATCCATCCATCCCTCCTTCCATCATCTATCCAGCCATCCATCCACCCATCCATCCACTCATCTATCAACCCATCCATCCATCCATCCATCCATCCATCCATCCATCCATCCATCCATCCATCCACCCATCCATTCATCCACCCATCCA